GACTCCGAAGTCGAGAAATCGAAAATTCAATTTCAAATGTATGTAGCTTAGGGGCATGATAACTTTTTATTGCAATTTTTTCAATTTTGAAATTAGACTAAAAAAGAATTTGTTTTACAATATACTTTATTCAACATTATTCGATGCATTTTGGTTTATCAAATAAAATTTTATATCTTTGATTAGGACCATTAAACTGGAAATATGAAATAAACAATTGAATGAGATAAAATCACAATTCATTGCATATTATATATATATATATATATCTTTGTGAAGTTTACTTATGGTAATAATGCGATTGACAAAATTAAAAATTCACGGGTAAATTCGAGCTTGTAAAGTATGAATATTAAATTGCATCGATTGCCATCGACTTCATGTCTTTGCCGAAAATCGAGATATCATTGTGATAAAATACCCATATCGGCATAATAAATAATTACTTTCCATATATGTTTTATGAATATTTACGAGCAGTGGATGTAGCACATTTTTAAATTAGCCAGGCGTAATACAAAAAGTCTTAGAAATACAAAAAAAAAAGTGTCTTATAATCGAGTGGATGAAGTATTTGCTTTTACAAAATCATATGAGATTTCGAAGGCTTTTTACAAAAATCAAATTGACATCAACGTCGCATGTCGCAAATTCTATGTCGAAGCTCACAAGTGAATCGACAATAATTATATTTAGTTAAAAACAATAACTTTATCCCAATACAAAAATTCTCTGGCTATTCTAGAAATATCATTAACGAGTGGAGCTTTGCAAAGGCCCCCGTTAAAAGATAAATTAATTTTCGATTACCAAATATCATTAAACTAATGAATTATATAACTTTCTCTCGGCATAACTAATTAAGCATAAAATATAATTGTTGATAAAAATCGTTCGAAAATTGAAATTGCATTTCGTAAGTGGCCGATAGAGTGCGAATGAAAAACGCGAGCATCTCTGCAGGAATCATCGATGGTGAACGAATGGAGAAGAGAAGAGGGAGTGCGACAGCCATCGAGAAATGACCGAAGAAACGAACGAGCATTTACGAGCGACGGGATAAAAATAAGTGGCCAACCTAGGGATATCTCGGTTGTGATGTTTGGTCGCTAAAGCGTGTGGATGGTGCAGCCGCTCCGTGGTCTCGCGATATTTTCGTACGGGGAACGCGCAGATCGCGCAATGCGTCGCTCGACTCCGGCAATGTGCACCTCCAGCAACGAATTTTCGAGCTTTCTTTGCTGACGCGCCAAGCACCTTATAATTCGCTGTGATTCGCGGCAGCATTTACTCGTTAAAGTAACGAGTAATGTTCGCTGGTTATACGATTTCAAAAGCTTCCGCGCCAGCTTGTGCTGGTGGGTGTTCCACTCCAATTACAAACTCCTGGTAATCCGATAAATTGAACGCTGTTTGAGCGTTATTACACAGCCTCTACGTGTTTTCTAATTTGCCTGATTTCTCCGCATTAGTACCAATTTTCACAAATCTGAATCTGCTCTCGCGCACAAATATTTCAGATCATAAAAATATCAAACAGCGATCAGAATTTCAGATAAGCAAGCAAAATTTTAAGTCTCACTAAGCTTCGAAAGTAAAAGCCGTTTTAGCTCGTTAATCTGAGCACTTAAAACAAAGTTTGAGTTTTATCTGAAAAATCAATATACTGAATGCTTCTAAGTATTAATAGAAATTAATATACTTTGTTTTATCCTATATTTATTCTAGCTTGATTATCAAATAATTAAAAATTAATTAATTTCATGTTATAATAATGTTAAAGTGAAGTTGTAAAAATAAAAATCCTTAATCGACACAATAATTAATTACACATTATAGTTCAAATTTCAGATATTAATTGTAATAAAATATATATACATGATTTTATCGCTATAATATTTCGTGTACCGTTTATGGACCAGGTAATACTCAAAAAAAAAAAAAAAAAAAAAAAAAAAAAAAAGTAACATGTAAAGAAAAATCAACATTAAAAATGAAAATTTACAAAAATTCTGTAAATTTTTCGTGGCTTTTCATCTCAGTAATATATCTTATTACTACATATTGAATCATAAAGCTCTAAGAAATTTTTCAAAGTAATTTCTTTATAGTTAAAAGAAAACAGAAAAGAATTGCAAAAAATATAAATAAAAAAAACATTGATAAAAACATTTAATAAAAAGGTTTCTATATATATACGTATATATATAAATTTTTTGTTTTATTTGATTTTTCACTCTTGTATAATGTTTCAAATTTACTATCATTATCTCCGTTGAAAGAAAAAAATACGTGTTTGTTTCGTAAAGGAAATTCTATTACGTACTATCGTATTCCTAAAATTTTAAATTAAATTTAATCTAACTCTTATATTGCTCGAAATGACTGTTTATAAGCTAATATTCCCATAATTTATTATTATCATAATATGTTATTATCCACTATAAATTATTATTATATAATTTAATTTGACGTTATTCTGATTATAAATTATATTCAACAATTTAAATATTAAAGGCATCTAAATTTAAGAGAAGTTTACGAAATAAATTAAAAAAATAATTTAAAACAGTGAACAAATTTTAATTCACAAAAGATAATCTTGTGCCTTACAATGGACATAAGGTGTTGATAAAAAATAGTGCTCAATTAATTAATTATAATCTACGAAATACATTATTTCTTTCATTCAAGTGCTTTCACTTATGAAATGATCGTTGGGGGAGATTCAAACTTTTTTGATTTTTCGTATAGCGTTTTAACGTTTTCGACTTTCTCCTCTATTAGATAAAGAAAAATCTTTACTGAATTGGTATGAACATTTTTTATGTTATAGAAATTGTTTTCTAAATGCTATGATATATTTTAGGAATTAATACATAAAATATTTATGTCTTATTTACTATTTGTAAGTTGATTATTGCAAAAAATAAGCAGAATTAATGAAATGAATTGAATAGAGTTTCATTAAATCGGAGGTTGTAAAACAAAAACAATGTCTATGTTATTTATTGAAGTAAAATTTAATAAAATTATGCACTTTTTGTAGCTATATCAATATTTCTCGTAAAATTGTTTATTGAAAATGTAAGGGACTTAGTATTCTACTTAACCAACTTTATACATACATTAATCATAATATTTAACAACTCACCGTGAGTGAAACATGAGTATTGGTTTTAAAAATAATTTTAAATTATTAATAGAATTAGTGTCATTAAATTGTTAATATAATTAATATAATTAATATCTTTGATATAATGACGTCGCACGTACGGATAATATAATGAAAAAAGTAGAATTAGAATACAAAAAGTAGAATTCACACGAGGGAACGTAATAAAAATGAAAGTTTATACTGTGTACAGAAATTATATAATGCAGAATATGTAATACGTAATAAAATTTCTGCTACTTAAAGCTTCAATTTTTAACTACACAGATTTCAATCCCTCATCATCGAATATTATATTATGAAATTATTAAAAATATTTATAATTAAAAAAATAATATTATAATCGTTTGCGATCTATAATAATTTCAAATGCCTTTAGGCTTATATAGAAAAGCCATTCTGTTGCCATTATTGTGCAACAAACGAATTAATAAATATTATGCTGAAGGTGCAGAGAAATAAATTTGCTACTTGATCAATAAATCTTTTGTATTTAGTGTAAGTTAAGTGATTTTTTAAACATTTTTATTATAAATAAAAGCACAATTTTTACAGGTAAATGTTTTATGAAATAAATTCTGAAATAAATTTTATAGTCTTTCAGTATGAATATATTTATTTCTACTTTAATACATAACATTTTCCTACCTAATTCGTCAAATCAAGCTCTAAACGCATAAATAGTCGCAAAAATAAATAAGTAATTATTTCAATACTTTTAAATTATAAAAGATTATCAATGATATTTACGGAATTTTAGCGTTACAATGCAGTCACACAATATTATTACTTATTTGGAATAATAATAATAATAATTTGTGAAAATGTATTATCGAAACATGCCATTTACGCATACAATACAATTACAATATGGAATTCTGAATATTGTAATACTTAATTTTCAATATCAAGCGTGACTGTGAGTTTTATTAATATAATGTGTAACAGATACTATTTCTATAATGAGATAAATTTCTCAGATCAGATAAATTTCTAAATAAGAGAACAAAATTTTATAAAAATTATAAAATTTATAAAAAAAAAACCACTACAATAATCAACAAAAGGGAATTTATTTCAATGGTTTTCTAGGGATGTATTTTTTATTAGGAACTAGTAAATTGATAACTATTAGAAAAAAAGAAAAGAAATCTTTTTCAACACGTCAAATAGCAAAAGTAGATATTAAAGAATATTCTTTTACATCAAAGGAAATGCGAAAAACGTATACAATATTATATTAATTTTTTAATAATATTCAAACCATCGAAATTATTATATAATAAAAATAGTGAAATAGTCATTGATTTAAAAAGTCAAGATATAATATAAAGAGTACAATGTTCTTCCAATTATTTCATTAAAAATAACATGGATCGCGATCAGTAACAACAGGAGCTTAAACAGTTGTTTTTTTCAACAAGTATATTTATAATGATTCTTAATGATTCGATGAAAACTTAGCAATTTATGCCATCATTTTAATCAGAAAATAATTCTCGTGCGCTTTTCTAGTACATGAATCATAGTACGCTTTTTCGTATGCCTTTTACACGAAAAATGCATTTCATTTTAATATGCTTGTATACATACAAGAATTACTGCGAACTTTATTGTACCAGTGAAAATTATATGTTAAGTGTATAAGAGAGGTGAAACATTTAGATTGCCATCTCTTTTATAATGGAGACGGGCGTTTCATACTAAAACTATTGTAATGCGATACAATTAAATTTCAATAAAATTTCTTTTAATCCATGATTGCGTGAACTTTGTGGAGACCAGAGAGCTCTGAAAAGATGACGGAATACAATGTCTATTTTAACTAAATTTCGAAGGCGAAGGCGAAGGCGAAGGCGAAGGCGAAGGCGAAGGCGAAGGCGAAGGCGAAGGCGAAGGCGAAGGCGAAGGCGAAGGCGAAGGCGAAGGCGAAGGCGAAGGCGAAGGCGAAGGCGAAGGCGAAGGCGAAGGCGAAGGCGAAGGCGAAGGCGAAGGCGAAGGCGAAGGCGAAGGCGAAGGCGAAGGCGAAGGCGAAGGCGAAGGCGAAGGCGAAGGCGAAGGCGAAGGCGAAGGCGAAGGCGAAGGCGAAGGCGAAGGCGAAGGCGAAGGCGAAGGCGAAAGCAAAGACGAAAGCGAAGGCGAAGGCGAAGGCGAAGGCGAAGACGCAGAAAAGGTGAGTCGTGAATCGGCAGCAAGCAGCTGGCGTGCGCGCGGGAAGGGCGGGGCTGCGCTCAAAAGGGTGCGCGCAACCGCTGACGCCGCGATTTTGCCACTACCGACCGCCGTCGTCGCCGCCGCCACCACAGTCGCTACCACCGTCGCCGCCGCCGCCACCGCCGCCGCCACCACCGTCGCTACCACCGTCGCCGCCACCGCCGCCACCGCCGCTGCCACCGCCGCCGTAGCCGTAGCCGCAACCGCCGTCGTCTCTTCGCTCCTCTCCTCGGCGCCGCGATTTATACGAGGCGCGGCAACGCGAGCGCAGGTGCAGGACAGGGACGAAAAAAAGCGCGACGCGAGCCGCGGAAGTCGCCTCCTGGAAGCGCCACGACTCAAGCACGTGCGATTGCGCTTTACCGCGAGGACACCGCACCTGGATCATTGAAGCGCACGGTGGTCCGAGCTAGGGCGATCGCGTCCAGCCTTAGTCGAGGTGATAGCTCGACGTCGGGTTTCGAGGGTCGAAGGACAGATTGATAGACAGAGAGAAATAGATAGAGAGAGAGAGAGAGAGAGAGAGAGAGAGAGGAAGAGGGCGAAGGAGACAGAGAAAGAGAGGCGGACGCCGAGACACTGTGACAGCGGCTTGATCATTGGCGGACGACAAGACGCAAGACCGACGTCGGGCACGGGGGGGTGCACTAAAGGAGGAGAGTGGGGAAGCCAGAGGGAGAGAGAGAGAGAGAGAGAGAGAGAGAGAGAGATTGAACGAGAGTGAGAGCGGGCGCGAGATCTAGCGAATACAGGTCGCGGCAGGTGGGGAGAGTGAGCGTTGGGCCGGGAGAGGAAGAAGTTGACGTCGGCGACGACGACGACGCTCGCGTCGTCCCGACCGCGAGAGTGGGAGAAAAGCGGGCGGGAGAGCGCGAGGGCGGGAGAGAGAGAAGAGGGTCCTCTCGCTCTGGGGAACGATTCGCGAAGCAGAGCCACGTCAGGGAGGGGAAGATCGCGTGGGGCGGTTGTACACCGGCGAGAAGAAGAAAAGAGAAAGAAGGACAGGCCGCCGGTAGCGGCGGCGTCGGCGGCAGAAGTAGCGGCGCCGGTGGTAGTGGTGGCGGTGGTGGTGGCGGTGGTGGTGGTGGTGGTGGCGGTGACGGTGGCGGTGGCGGTGGC